CAACAATGTCAAACAATAACAGAAGAAGACAAGAGAAAACAATCACACAAGAGTATTTTTTTTCATGAAGAGTGAAAGGAAAATCACAAACACAAGCAAGACACTGTTGCTTTCTTTAATCTACCTCGGCGTAGGCTGTTTCAAGATGAGCTTGCTCGGCTTCACGAACTTCCTTCTCCGTCTTTTTTCCCTTCTTCGACTTGTAATAAATGCTCATGAATGTGCCTATAGCTCTGTACTTCCTACGGCAATGCTCATACAATTCAGCGTCAAACATTCTCCAAAAGCTCTTCTCATCGAGCTCAGACACCGCGTATTGAGGTTGGAAGCCATGGTTTTCTATCAGCCATTGCTCCATCTTACGCACAGCTTCAACTCCATCAAACACTTCACCTCTCAGGACAGGACCTGGAGCATAGTAGACTCCAACATCAGTGTACATCTGTGCATCTTCTGTGTCTCCCTGTCTCATATCATACTCAAAGCCTGGTTCGGGGTTAATCATGCATTTAACCGGTTGTTTGAAGACTTTGTGAGGGCAAAGCCAAATTGGATAAACCTAAACAAAACGAAACATAAGGAATAATTTTTAATATCCAACAAAATCCAACCACAGAGAAAAGCAAGACCAAAGCTTACCTCCATTTCACGGTCGACCCATTCAAGGGTATCACCGACTTTGTAGAGAGGAACAAGCATGTCTTGGATGACGTGCATTTCATGATAGTAATTTCTGATGCCTTCACCTTGAGTGGCCTTAAGAAGGGAGACCTTTGGAGGCATCAACCAGCCAAAGAGGAACCTAAACCAGAACTGGTCACCAAATGGAAGGATAAGCTTACCTTCCCAGTACAAGGAACTAGTGTGCCTATGGTAATATTCTCGGGTTGGGATGTATTCGACGAATTCTCCTTTCTTCAATGCGGTTTGTGCATACTGGTAGAACCATGGCTTGAACCACCATCCAACATTATTAATCTTGTTCCCTTTCTTCTTGGCCTCTTCTTTGGAAGCGTATTTACCCGTCATCATTACGCCTTCAGTTGAACTGTAAACCATGCCTTCAATGAAATCTGGGATTTTAGTTGGATCCCCATCTCTGGGTGCAAAAGAATCCATATAACCTTGAGCTATTGTTTGTAAATCACCCTTGACTGGGATGTAAGTAAGTTTCATGTATTCTTTGATGTGTACAAGCCTGATCTCGGCAGCAACGAGGAACCCGAGTGTCCCTTGTGACCATGGAATGGCATAGAAAACGTCAGAATACTCATTGTCCCTAGTGGCCCGGACAAGTTCCCCTCCCGCTAGAACAATCTCGTAAGCCTCAACAGTGTCTGTAAACAAACCATGGACGTGAGAGCTTCCTTCAATACCATAGCCGTTGATAAGTCCGCCAACGGTAAGATCATCGAGCTCAGCAACAACAGCAAGGGACAGGTTCATTGGAATGGTGACACGGGTAATTTGTCCCATGTTCACAAGAGGCTCCACCCTAGCAATCATTCTATCTTTATCAATCTTTAAGATGTTACGGAAAGCAGACAAGTCGACCTCGAAATGTCGAGCTCTCTTGTAGTCCACGTTCCTCATTCCTACCGCAATCCACGGTTTACGCGCGGTGCAAACGAGCCCGTCCTTTGCTGCATCCCTCCCCTTAAGTCGTTTGATGACTTTCTTAACATTTTCGTCATGTTCCTTTTGACGTTTCTCATAGGACTTCATTTCTGACCAAACATCCCCAAGATAGGTGAGGAAGTACAATGTTGCAGAGATAGGAAGGACGACAAAGATGACGACGATCCATCGGAATTGGACAAAGTAATCAACCCAAATCTTCTTTCTCTTTGGACGTACTAGTGGTGCCTCAATATCCGACATCTTTGGGAAGTCTGAGAGATGCCTATCTCACTGCATCAAACGACCAAACCAGTTGTAAGTACACAAAAGCCGCTCAAATCCCAACTTGAGTGTTAAGAAACTAAACAGTAACAGGACATAAGTCAATAAATCTCATCAGGCCTATACTACCAGACAAATCCAAAGACTGTAGTACTAGAAACACCTTAAGCTAAAGCTAAGGTCTTCTTATACATAACATAGGTTTAATTTTGAAACAAGTACCCTATGAAACAGCAACTCCCTAGAGCACTACTGAAGAGTGTTAGACCCTGGAGAAATTTATCTGAACAAATTAATGGGATAAAACCATTAAACTCTGTGATCAACACTACAGAATTTGAGATCTAGAAGACTCATGCAAGAATTTGTGTGTTTCTCGTTCTTGGAGAAACACACAAATTCTTGCATGAGTCCTCTAGATCTAAACGTTTGTTCGTTTCACCGAACCACCAAATGCAGCAATTCTGGTTTCTACCGCAAAAGTGACTTCACTCCAAAGTTAAAAGTAATAATTTCAAAAAATCCAGTTCCAGTAGTGGTAAGAATCCATCAAGATTAAAATATCTATCAGAAACAAGATCTTTGAAAGCAAGCTCA